ATACTACATAAATCCCAAAACCAGATAAACGATATGCAAAAAAAATATTTATTTTCTTGGAGTGAAAAACTTACAATGTACTTACTACTTACATTTAAAAATAAATTAGTATACAAAAAAAAATAAATTTTTAATAAAATTAATAATTAGTATTTCCTCATTAGAATGATGAATGCCGTGTTGATTACAATCTCCATAAAAAGAGACTCAAGTCATATTTCAAGCTAAAAAATGATTACTTTAGAAAGGCATTAGATGATGGTGGCATTCTTGTCTTGGAATTTGATTACGCACAAAATCTACCCTTGCCAATGCTCAGCATAACAAAACAGTTCTATAACTGAGTTTTATGGATGTCTTCTTCTTCTTCTTCTTCAGCCTTCATTTATCCAATGTTGGACATAGGCCTCCTCGAATTGCTTCCACGCTTCCCTATCTTTTGCAATTCTCATCCACTGCTTTCTAGCTACAGCAGTTATATCGTCTATCCATCTCTTTTTAGGTCTTTCCACGCTTCTTTTTGTTTCTCGAGGTCTCCAGAATGTCACTTTATGAGACCATCTGTTGGTGTCTTGTCTTGCTACATGTGCTACCCATTGCCATCTCAATGTAGCCCATATCCCATGATGTCGGTAACTTTAGTTCTTCGACGTATTTCGGTGTTAGGAATTTTGTCTCTGAGGCTTATATTTAACATGGCTCTCTCCATGGCCCGTTGAGTTACTCTTATTTGTTCTGCCATTTTTCTTGTTATTGCCGTAGTTTCCAATCCATAAGTTGCAACTGGTAGTATACAAGTGTCATAGGTTTTTCGTTTTAAGTGAATTGTGATTTTTCTGTCTTTTAAAATGAAGCCCAACTTACCAAAAGCAGCCCATGACAATTGTGTCCTTCTTTTAATTTTAATTTTTTTTAATTTTAATTTCTTTTAATTTCTTTTAATTTCTTTTAATTTTTTTTAATTTCTTTTAATTTCTTTTAATTTCTTTTAATTTCTTTTAATTTCTTTTAATTTCTTTTATTTTCTTTTAATTTCTTTTAATTTCTTTTAATTTCTTTTAATTTCTTTTAATTTCTTTTAATTTCTTTTAATTTCTTTTAATTTCTTTTAATTTCTTTTAATTTCTTTTAACTTCTTTTAATTTCTTTTAATATCTTTTAATTTCTTTTAATTTCTTTTAATTTCTTTTAATTTCTTTTAATTTCTTTTAATTTCTTTTAATTTCTATGGATGTACGTATTCAATATACACGTGTATATTGACCATCATATTTATATTCCTTCATAGAAACTGAATGTAAAAAGGGAACAAGTAGTGTTGCTTTATTCATCTTTGACTGTTTTCACAATAAATTAGCAGATTATCCTAATACCAAGCATATTGTTCTTCTATCAGATGCAGCTGGGGGCCAAAATAAAAATCAGACTTTGTTGCGGTTTTTTTCTTGGATATCAAAACTATACAGAGTCGAAGTAAGACATATTTATCCTGTTCGTGGACATTCCTTTAGTCAGTGCGACAGAAATCTTGGGGTTATAAGTCAGGCCTTAAAAAGAGTTGAAGATGTCGAAGAACCCAAAGTCTACCTAGAAAAAATCGTACAGTGCAGACAAAGTCCTTCTACTTTCTGCCTCAAACATGACTTCTCTAAAATATATGACTGGAATGCAGCACTTCTTCCTTATTTTTTGGAGAAGTCTGTGAATAAAGCTTGTGAGCTTAAAATACAACAGTATCGCGTGTCGGAGGGCCAATTTGGCCCCTGTTGCGATTTGAAGTTATTGTAGTTCTTTTATTTGACACAATAATAATTTCATATTTTATGACTTTTAATATTTTGATACAAAGTCTTATTTAACGCAAAAAATATTGTTTACTAAATTTATTAAATGGATTTTCTAACAAACCTACCATAGAAGTCTGAATGGGCCAAACTGGCCCTGTATTAATTATTATTAATAATTAATACAAATTATGTTTATGTACGTTTATTCCTAGAAGGTATTTTGTTACATACTGTTTGTTCCTTGAAAGTATTTTGTTTATTGAGCGGTTTATTAGATTCTGCTGACTCTCGTTTCTAGAATATTGAAACATTCCTTCAATTGTGAAAATTCAAGACGACTGTAAAGATGTCTCGTCGTGGACTATCAGAGCTTGAACTTCTTGAAGAAATACGAAAAATACAAGAAGATGTTTAGGGAGGTGAATCTGAATTTGCAGAAAATAATGAGATGAACAATACGTACCACCACAAAATAATGATTCAAGTGACTCTGATGCTACACAGTAGTTAGAAAGTTTTATTGTACAAGACTCACCAATTCATGTAAACACTGCTTCTACAACTCAACAGCACGAGCCAGCTAATTTTATCGTGAATCCAAGTGCATCTAAGCCAAGTCACAAGAGAAAAAGAGGTCAACAAGGAAAAACTATTTCAATCGGAGACACCGAACAATCGAAAGACGGAACAACGTGGAAAGTTATTGATTCTGGATCAGTACCTGATAAGATTATGATTTTTAGTATCTTCATATTCATTGAATGTTTGCTGATTACAGGACGCCGCGCTCAGCACAACATTTATCGAAAGGAATCAGGTCCTATGTCGTATGCAAAAAGGAACGTGAGGAACAATTGTGTGGTAAGTGCTTGACATCTAATAATCAACGACAGCATGTTACGTCATATAAAAGAATGCACTATTGCAGAAGCACATCGATGTTTGAAAAATGACACATGGACTATAACTTTGGAAGAACTGGAGGCTGCCCTTGCTATTATGTACGCAAGAGGAGTCTACGGCGCCAAAAATTTCCCAACCAACAGATTGTGGTCAACAGTATGGGGTGCTCAGTTTTTTAGGCAAACTATGCCACGAGACAGATTCAAGGATATTATAAAATATCTCAGATTTGACATAAAGCAAACGAGATCTGAACGATTGAAAACCGACAAATTTGCTCTAGCCTCTGCGGTTTGGAATGGATTTATAGAAAATAGTGGTGCATGTTACAAACCGGGAATAAACCTTACTGTGGACTAACAACGTTCACACAGTACATATCAAATAAACCGATTAAGTTTGGCATACAATTTTTTCTTTTGACATGCGTGGAATCAAAATATATTGTAAATGGTTACCCTTATACTGGCACTGATCATCTACGCAAGAAAGATACAAGTTTTGGTGAACATGTTGTTTTGCGGTTAATGGAAAATCAACTGGGAAAGGGTAAAAATGTTACGACAGATAACTACTTTACATCGTTAAAATTGGCCAAGGCATTGCAAAAAAAATCAACAAGTTTTGTGGGTACTTTGAATCGCAACAGAAAGGAAGTTCCTCTAAGTAAAGAGTAAAAATGGAGAATTATATGTTACCCATATATTCCAGAGCGACGAAAAGATAACACTTACTGCATACCAAGGAAAGAGTCACAAAAATGTGCTTTTGTTGAGCTCATTACATCAATCAGTGGATGTTGCTGTCGATGGAAAAAAACTTCCTCAAACAGTAAGTTTTTATAATAAAACAAAATACGAGGTTGATGTAGTGGACCAAATGGCGCGTCTTTATACTACAAAAGTTGCTTCAAGACGATGGCCAATGCACGTGTTTTATAACATTCTTGACTTATGAGCAATAAATGCATGGATTATTTATAAAGAAGTTACTGGAAGTAAAATCAGTCGTCGTATGTTTATTGCCTCGCGAAATCTGGTACTATACCCAGCACCACCGGATTTACCAACCCCCAGCACTGTTACTAGCCAAAAAAGAAAAAAGTGTCAGTTAAAAATGTTTTGTAAAGGAAATCATACTTCCAATGAGTGCCACGGCTGTAACAAGGCAATGTGTGGCAAATGCCAAAAACTGCAAACTGTATGGTGTTCCAAATGTTTCAAATGAAATTAAAAAATTAAATCAAATTCTATCGTCAAGAGTTTATATAATTTCTTAAAACTGTTTATTTTTATTTTTTGTTTATTCCCAAATAAATAGTTAATTCTAAACTTGGTTTTTATTGATTTAGGAACTTGGGGCCAAAATGATCCCTTCGGGCTTTCTAGGTAGGTATGCTAAGCCCGACTTTCTAGTGTTAAACCTTGTGTGACAATGGCTGCTTCTAAAACCTACTTTGAAATGTATACCCCTTTGAAAAGCACTCCGACTGAAAAGGACAATAAGAATAGGGCTGATGACTCAGATGTTGAGGAAATTTAGCATCAAATTATATTCAATATAATGTAGTGTAAAAAAAAATAAAAGTTTACTTGGTGTACAAAGACCTTGATTATTATTTTAAATCCTTGTATTTTACTTGTAATTTTACTATAATATATAACTGTAGTATACTATAAAACATAAAAAAGTTATAGACCTTTCTCTGCAGGCTCATGTAAACTTATTTGAAAAGAAAAAAGGACATTTTATAAAGGTGTTCTCTATAATTTAATCAATGTATCGCAAAATCTTAAAACTAAAACACTTAAACAATGCAGGTGTTGGTTCGTCTTAGGCATGTATGTTATATCATTGAATGCTTGTTTCTCAAAGTACACTTTTAGCAGATAGGCGCTTCTAGCTACCGCCTCAATGCTTACAAGTTTATTGTCTTTGATTTGCTTGACTTTTTGCATTCAATAATAATTAATAATATAAAAAGATAGAGTAAAACTCAAAAAATAAAGTTTTCATGTTTTAATGTATTGTAAAAATGTCAGTTTATTTTTATCTTAGTAAATGGAAAAATCCACTCATGTATTTTAAAAAACAAATAAAAATAACACTTAAAAAATATATTAAGCGCTAGAACAAAAACAAAAACACGCGGTGATCTGTTTGAAATCCGCACGATGCTCCTCGCTGGTTTTTGCGTCTCTGACGACGCACCGTCGTCTCAGGTCAGACGCAACGGCGTCTCTCGGGGCAGGGGGAAAGTATAAACAAAGCCAACGAGAGTGTATAAAAACCTCTCTGCGCGTTCAATAACAAAACATTTGATTCTAAACCGCTCCAAAGCAAAAGTGATACCAAAAGTGCATTATATCGCTCGTTGGTGATCAGTTTGTGACGAAAAGATGCGTCCTCCTACACAATATCCTCAAGAAATCGCTCAAGAGGCCGAGACCGAGAGTGAACCCGACCCCAGGATGGGGGCGATGATGATCTGTACGAGACTGGCTGGAAGGGCTGTCATTAGGGTCATCGGAAGGTGCAATGATGCTAAAGAAAATGAAAATCTCGGTGAGTGATCATAAGGATTCTTTGTGAACAAGTTGTGCTTATTGTGACATGTGCTATAACATTGTGATACCTTCAGGATTATTTTGGATGCTAATCAGGTGATATATGGGTGTTAAACAATTAAAAATATATCCTTTTTTGAAAATATCTTCACATATCCGCAACCTTTATTTGATATAATCTAGTTTACTTCAATTGACAAATCTAGATAAAAATTCGCAAACAATGTGTGATTATTATACATCGTTTGTAAAAGTATCTAATAGTAATAATAATATATTTACAATTTTCATTATCATAACCTTTAATTTTTTATAAAATAATTTCCCATGTCCATCATTTTAATTGTTCTCTTATGTTCTAAATAATTTTAAATAGTAAATCCTTTATAAATATACCTTAAACACACTTTTTTGGTAAAAAATTATGACTTAATCGAAAGCTTTTGAATATGTTTCGAATTTTTTATCTCTTTTTTGTTTTTTGGTAACTTTTTCCGTTTTATAGGAAGACATAAAACAATTATTTCGTAAGATTGTAATTTTGACCAGGATTTCATTCCATTAAACAACCTTAGAATAATTAAACTCGGTTAGAATAATTAAATTAAGACATATTTTTATGTGAAACACCCATATATTTATAGCAAATAGCAATAAAACTATTGTTTATATAACGGGGTCTCTCAGGAATTCACCTAGGAAAAATAAAATATGAAATAAATCAATATAACGGATTACCAAAAAACTCGACAGATTTCTTAAACGAAATGTAATGTTCTTATCGTATACCTAACCTCTAATTTTTTTTTATGTTTCTTCAAAAAATATTCTGCGCCACTGGATTTAGAATAGCTTCAAAAAACTTTCAAAAACAAAACAAAACTTTCTTTGAAATATACTTATTAATAACGAAGGACAACTTCAAATTTAAAAACACACTAAGCTACTAGTCAAAAAAGAAAACCCTGCTTCAACTGCCTGTCATAGGAAGTTAGGAACACTAGCCCAGTCTGGTTAAAAAAAGGTCGAAAAATGTTTCGCAGATACCTGAAGCTTTTAAGACATAGGTGGGGGTTACTAGATGACAAATAGATGAAAAAGTACTATACTCTGTTTTTTAACCAGGAGGAGTAAACCAAAAAGCCAGATTCACACTCAAGAAAGTTACTAGAAAAGTCACTAAATACATCTTCTTTTTTGTTGATTATCTCGGCCTTGCGATAATCGAGTAATCAATATTGGACAACGTCACACGTCAATTTTAACGTAATTTTGTTTATTTATGTTTGAATAATAATTTTTTTTTTCAATTCACTTCAATATATATTACAATTATTACAATAAAAAAAGGACGTTATTCACGTTTGGTCCCATGTATATATATTTAAATATCGGTTAATCTAGTTTTATAGATCTCTTAAATCTATGGTATTTAATTATAATTTACAGAATATTTTGATCGGGAGAGTCAATAATGTTACAGATCTAAGTATGGTTTTTCTGAGAAATTTGTCTTTTAATGGTAGACCAAATTCTTATTCTGGTATGATCAATTTCTTGTATCTAGTTTTTTTTTCTTACCAGATACTTTGTATAAATATAAGTGTGTACTTACAATTTCTTTAATGCTGGATTCTTGTTTAATGTTGACAATGAGTTTGTCCCATTTGTTATCAATAAATAAATCATTTCTTTAATGCTGGATTCTTGTTTAATGTTGACAATGAGTTTGTCCCATTTGTTATCAATAAATAAAATTTACTAAAAAATACTGGATTTATGTGAGATAATCAACAAATCTAATCTATTATGTTACATTCTTGCATAATTTTGCAGTTTTCTTGTGATGATCTACAACCAGGAAGAACAAAACCAACTGTATCATACAATCAAACTAAAACACAACATTACTTTACTAATGTTCTTTTATTGTGATGAAAACAAAATGGAAATGCTTCTTAACAAGTATACACTAAATTTAAAAGATAGTTGCCGTTTTTCTTATGATAATGAGATATAAATAACATACATTTATAAATTTATAAACACTTTAGACTATATTTAGTATAAATACCATCGCATATCACCAAGTCCAAGTTATTACAAACAGAGTCAGAAATCGATTTATATATTAGAGGAAAATAATAATTATAAATAAATTTCACAAATGTCATTAGTGTCAATATGTCATAATTTAGTGGAGTAAACTTGCCTGCGGTTGGACCAATTGCAAACAAGCATTACGGCGCGGAAAATTTGAATTACCCCTCCTGGTTAAAAAACAGACCATAGTAATTTTACCTTTTTTTTAAACAATAATTTATGGTCAGAATTTGATTTTTTGTCTATAAGCTTTTTCTCTTATATTTAAAATAAACAATATTTATATCATTTTTTTATATCAAGAATATCTTTATTTTGTTGTTGTAGTTGTTATCCTTGAGTCTCTTCTTGTGGGTAAATCTGGATTGCGGGGTATTCTCTTCGTTCTTCTATTTTGTGGAGTTCCTTACTTAAAACCTTTGTTAGCAGGTTTTTCTTCCTAAATTTCCTTTTCATTAGAACAGGTATTTTGGGCTCTTATAATGATTTGATAATTCCTTTTTTAATATTTACGTTGTGCTTTGATTGGTAATTTAAATACCTGTAGGTTTGATTTTCTGTAAACTTTGGTTGCATATCCTGTTCCTCTTTTGTGATTAATGCATCCAGAAAAGTAAGTGAATTGTTGTTTTCTTTTTCTGTGGTGAATTTGATTGATTCTTGTTTATTGTTGATGTCCATCAGGAATTTATCTAATGTTATTGGTCCATAAGACCAAATGGAATACACATCATTTACATATCTCCACCATACTGTGGGGTTTTTGTCTTATTTATATATAATGATTTGTTCGAAATCTTCCATGAATATATCTGCTAATAATAGAGGTAAGGATGAACCCGTCTATGAGCCCCAGATAATCTGAAATTTTCCTTAGGGGAATCATTATTAAGTTGAAAGTAAGTAAGTATTGTCTGTGCAAAATGTTGGTAGCTATCTCCATAATTTTATTTATTTAGCCTCAATCGCACTATGTACATTCCGCTTCTGCATGGCTTCATTTGTATATCAAATCAGCACATTTATGTCTCATATGTATGCGATTAAGCCTCGACCAGAAGGACCGTGACAGATTTGATCTAATGAAGCCTTGAGTTGAGGTAAATATCTGGATATAGTCTGATTTTCTTATTGGAATCCATCTTGTTGGCCATTGCCATTGTATATCATAAGTATCACAAATTTTTCGAGCAGTTCTGATTGGAGGATTTCTAGTTCTCAATCGATGATGCTTTTTTGTCATGTGTGGTATATCTTGATGGGTTGGTAATTGTACGTTGACTACTCTCTTACTAATGCTATTGTAAGGTGTAGATCTGAAGAAGTAATATTACTCAAAATGGGGAACCATCTCACTTGTGTTGATTTTATTGTTAAAGTGATTATTCTCATAGTTTCTTTATGTTGGACATCGATTTTGTTGATATGTGCATTATTTAGCCATACTAGTGCACGATATTCTGCTACTGAAAAAACCAAAGCTAAAGCATAAGTCCTAAGTATATCCGCAAAGGTACCCCAAGTTGTTCCAGCAAGTTTTGCTATTATGTTGTTTTTTGTTCTCAATTTATAGGCTGTGTTTGTAAGATGAGTTTTGAATGTTTTCTGGCAAGTATGACGCCTAGATATTTCGGGTTGTTGTTATGTTTGATAGCTATATTAATTAGAGTTACATTGAGAGTATCTCCCGCAAGTTGACTCGACAGAGACAGGTTTTAGTTTTGCTTGTAATAGGGCGTAAGAGCCAGGTCTCAAAGTACATAGTTAATACAGTTAGATCTTCGGTTACAGCTCCTTCTTTCTGCTTCTTTACTTTTTTTTTGAAAGCCAATGGTCAGGTCGTCAGCATAGGCAAATCTTTTCTATTTTGTTTCAGGTATGTCACATAAAGGTTAAATAATAATGGAACTAGCACTGATCCTTGAGGTAAGATGTTCTTCAGTATTATCAGGTTACTATGTGCATCATTCATCAAATATACCTGAAACATTCTGATATTTCCATGATAGCTGATATATTCAGTTTGGTTTTTGTCGTCAGTATATCACCCTTTTTTAATTTAGTTCTTATTATTTTTTGAACATTAAACATTAAAGTTTTCTTCAATGGCATGTTGGTGAAAAGGCTGGTGATATCAAAACTGACTATCATATTGTTAAAATTATAATCTATTTCTTCTAGTTTTTGCAAGAATTTTTGTGCGTTTTTAATGTACCTACGCTGTTGAATTGTATGCTAGAGGTTGTATTAGGTCTAGGAGACAGTGCTCAAATTGGTCGGAGGAGTACATTTTCATTGTGAAGTTTTATGACTCCGTATAGGTGTGTAATATAAACACAACTTTTAACTTAGCCTTTTCACAATAAAACAGTTTCAGAACCTTATTTTAAATTATGTCCCGAAGTCAGTGGCGGACTAAGGCTAAAGCGGGCCCTAGGCATCATTGTAATTCCGGACCTGCGTTTGGTAGTTTGATTTCACAGCATTTGGTATAAGTAAATATAATTTATTAAAACAAACTGCCCTAAACATAATTTTTTAAAAAAAAGAGGTTAATCTTCGTAAATGGGTATATTTATTTAAAACCCTTAAAAGGGCTACATAAAAAAAAACAAACGTTTTCGGACTAAACCGTCCATCATCAGGTTTAAAATTGCCTAAAATAAGTAAAAACCATTTAGTTAAAGCAAACGTGGTTTTAAAATTTTGACTAGGGTTAAAAAGCAAAAATGGTTATACTTACTAGGTTAAAATGCCTGAGCCACCAAAATACCAGGGTAAAAACCCTTTAAATTACACGTAGTTGTAAAAGGTTGTACATATTATTGTTATAAAACTGTGATGTTAAATATTAAATTAAATTTGACTTCAGGTAACATGCTTGAAGTGAGTTCC